ACATTTAGAGACCGGCAAATTGTCTGAAAAAAAGCTTCATGACTTTTTATTCCGCTAAAGTAATCAAATCGCCACAGCCCCGTCTGAAATAGCTGTAATGCCTCCTAGAGTACTTTTATTAGGCATTTTGGGTCTTGCTCAGGCTGTTGTAAAAACATTCAGGATCTACCAGCGTCCATTTGCAAATACAGTCGAATCTCAATAATTCGAACTCGAAGGGGCCCATAAATTTGTTCGAATTAAAAGAAGTTGGAATTAATGAAAGCTAAATAAACAGAGGGCTCTCCATGCTGTGGCGCATGCACATTGAGCCAACTCACGAGAGTGAAGTTTCGGAATACTTAAATTTATTCACAAATCACAGGACATCTGTGATTGAATTAATCGGTGATGTGCGTCTGCACACGGTTTCCCTTGCAGCGAGTCAATCAGTTTCGCACGCATCTTGCAAAGCATTTCACTTCTGATTCAGCCTTCTCCTGGCCAGAGAAGTTGTGCGCGGAAATGTCCAGCGCCGACAGTCTTCAAAGACGATGACAACGATGACTGCGTAGTGGAGCCGCAAGCCGCAGCATGGGCAGCACGTGACGAGAAAGGAGGAGCGTCTCCACCCGGAGAGGTGTGGCAGCTTGGACTAGTTGGTATGACATGACGATAGTTACAGCGCGAGAACAGAACGACGACACAGAGTCAAGAAGGTCCTTCGTGTCCTTCTTGTCTCTGTGTCGTCGTTCTGTTCTCGCGCTATAACTATCGCCATGCGGAGAGAAGCAGATCAGCGTTTGAGAGAAAACCAAGACTCCAGCGTTTGAGAGAAACCAAGGAGAATGGTTATGTGGCAGGGGGCACCGGCGCATGAGAGAACTCCCCCCCCCCCCCTCTCAAGGGCTGCAGAAGATAATGCCTTTTTCCTTTCCTTAACCACACATACATTCAACCCCGAAACAGCTTTTTTTTTTCCTCTCTCTCTTCGCACGCGGTATTGGAAGGAGAAGAGTTTTTACGTGGCAGGGACGGAAAAGTGAGAAGCGTGACACAAGCGTGTCGCAGATCAGCATTTGAGAGAGAGCAAACATTCCACCGGAGCCTTTTCTTTCCTTTTTCTTTTCTTCGCGTGCAGCGTTGAGGTGTCGCAGGTGCTGCCGGGGGATTGGATGGGGTGCTGAGAGCATTTTCGGAGCGCGGTATGTTCGAATGAACCTTCGCTAGCGCTTGCGCGTTCGAATTACCGGGCGTTTTCGCCCATTGGAATACACATAGCTTTGACGGGACCTCATCGTGAGTTCGAATTACCCGGAAGTTCGAATCAAGCGTGTTCGAATTAATGAGATTCGACTGTAGTATGTGTTGCGTGATGAGTGCCGCCGATATCAGCGAAGCGCGGAATAAGTTGCGGAGTTATCGCATAGAGTGTGGAAACGATGACGCAGAACATACAGAATCTGGAACAAAGCAACAATACTCTTCTGGACGTACGCGATGCATGTGTGCTCTTGGAAGATGCACCATTCTACGAAAATCTCTGGCAACACCCAGCACTTGCTGCCACACGAGACCGATTGTTCCTAGTTGTGTGAAAAATCAGCTACACAGCTAACGCTGTTCCTACCGAGGTGCTTTTGTATGCACGTGTTTGTCATAAAAAAGTGTTCTTGATACCCATTCCGTTCTTGATAGCACACCGGCATGGCAATGGCGAGCAGCTTTCATTCGTGAAGGCGCACTTAGCTGTCTGTGTGGTTAACTTGACCGATTCACACAGATAGGCATCGTGGACGGCGGCGCGCGAGTGATTGAAAGTGTGCAGTACACCAACAACAACTGGGCCACATGGAGTAACAAGCAGTTAGCTGAAGATGCTTACCATCAAGCAATTAAGTCTTACTGGCATGTTCGCCACATTGCTGCCGTCACGCCTCTGATCGTTTCCGGTGCTTATCCGTTAGACATTGCCTCACTCGATGCAGATACCCTTAGAAGTTTTTTTCAGCTTCACCCCACAGCACTTGTGCATTGTGGCAAAGCCGACTTTCAAACATTACTGTGACGTCCGACTTTTGAAAGCGCTCGTTTAAGTCTATGAGGTCACAGACGAAGCAAAGGTAGGGACTTTAAGTAATGCTCTTTTATACCTGGAATGTCAACTGAAATCCCCCAAAAAATCGAACGCGAAAAAGTTTGAGTGTCAAAAATTTCAGATGTTCTTATTTATAAACGTTGATAGCGCTTGTGATGCTGTCATGAAATCACCTGAATTTGCAAGCATGTCTGAAAAATCTGGCTTCCAAAAAATCGGCAGTCAGCTGATCTTCAATCACGTTATAATGAAATGCTATGGTTTTAAATTTTATCATTGGCTTTGTCTATTAAATATGGTCAGGTTATCTGTCGGTGATATAATTTTTTTTTTACTCTATTATGCTTGAATAGCATGCAGCACATTTCAATTTTATCATTCGTGCATCATAAACACTGTATTCAAAAAGCGGCAGGAAAGGGTGGATCAAAGCTTGCAACGAAAAAATCCGTAAACAGTGGTTGGGGAGGGGGGGGGGGGGGCGGGCCTGCGTTTTGACAAGCGTACTTATTTTCTCAAGCCTAGCAAGACAAGACCGCTTGTCGTAACGTCGGCTCAACACAACCCCCTGTTTATGGATTTTTTTGTGAACACAATAGGTGTCTTAAAATTGACTCTAGCAATATCTGCTCTGAAAGGCAGTTTTGCTGCTCTATAATGCAGTTTTGTCTGTTCTAAAAGCTGCTCCAAAAGCTGCTCCAAAGCAGCCTAAGCTAGTTACCTTGTTACTCACCCTGTTATTTGGGAGGAAGGGATAGACCGTTGTGATGAGGGCCACTCTTTGTTAGTATCAAAAAAGATGATTCAATGAATAAATGCAATCAAGAGTGCTAAATATGCTTTTGATAGCATCAATACAAGAATGCAATTTGTAATGGTATATGGCCTAATCAGACCATAATATCTTACTTTCAGTCATGTCTGTTACACCACTTCATACAAAAAAACTTGGTTTAAGATCTATGCAACATGTTCTTTGTAGTCAGAGAAGGAATCTAAGAAAAAGAAGGGATAGACTGTTGTGATGAGGGCCACTCTTTGTTGTTAGTATCAAAAAAGATGATTCAATGATTAAATGCAATCAAGAGTGCTAATTAAGCTATTGATAGCATCATTACAAGAAAGCTTGCAAATTGTAATGGCATATGGCCTAATCAGATCATATCTTACTTTCAGTCATGTCTTTACAGATCATATCTTACTTTCAGTCATGTCTGTTACACCACTTCATACAAAACACTTGGTTTAAGATCCATACAACATGTTCTTTGTAGTCAGAGAAGGATCTTAAAAAAAAAAGAAAGGGAACAAAGGCACAACAAATGTGCAAGAAGTTCGACATCATAAAACATGCCGAAGCTCATATTCTTTTCACCTCAAACTGAAGGCAGTACATTGAAGATTATGACCACTGTGACTTTTGGTAATGGAATATCGTTGGCACAGCTTCAAAAGTCATTTTCTCGAAACAACTTTTCTTGGCTCTTGTTTCACTTGTTCCGCTGATTTCTCGGCAATCGCTGCGTCAATTTCAGTTCTGTCTTAAGCTCTATATTCCTTTAAGTACAGTACAGGGCATAACAACATTGTTTTTTCATTATGGCCTTTTGATAATTAGCTATATGACATGTCGCGCACAGTCTCATTGCCTGTTGCACAATAAACTCAAGAAAAATGAGAAGTAAAAAAAATTGTGTTGCAAATGAAAAATCTGATTGTCATGCTCTCAATTGGGCATCTTAGAATGCATAGCGCTTTGAACGAGTTTTCTATTATGTTTTTTAAGCGAGCTAGACTTGGAACTAGACCACAAAGAGAAATATATTATACATCGAATAGTTGCAAAATATGTTCATGAAATTTCAAGTGTAGCGATAAAAAAAACATTTCTAACAAGTGTGCCATTTTTTTTCAAAATCCATTAAGAGTGAGTAAAGTTGCGAAGAAGTCCCTTTTTAATACAAGGAAACAAAAATATTCCATTACTAAATCATCGACCACGCACAGCAATCAACGATTATATGGCCAGGGTACATCGGGTCGTTCATGTTTTTGCTGTCAGAGACGCCACAGGTCATCTTTCACGACTTTCAGTGAAAAAATAAAAATATAAATTATGTCTCATGAAAAAAATCAAGAGGTGGTTTGAGTCAATATGACGAACGATCTATTTATCAGTGGAGTCATATCATTTAATGTGCTGGGCAGCTGTCGGTCTCTCTATTGTACACCTATTCATTTATATAGAATACTTTGTGATTTTTGGTAATTTAAATTCAGATCGAAGAGAATTCAAATACTATGATATATGTTCGAATATTTGAAGCATTCGAATATTTGTGCAAGCCTACTCATTACCCTTTATGGGAGAGAGATAAGCACACTGTGAACTGCCATTTGTGCATGCCTGCATCCTAAATCATTCCTTTTTTACCTACACAATTGAAAGAAGCATGTTTTAATCCCTTATAGACCTTGCATCATGCAGTGAGGGCTTTCAAGCAGCAGTAGTGTCTTCAAAGAGTTCGCCTATGGTGTTGCCAGCATATGCTAATTTATGCATGTTCTCACTCTGTAGCCCACCCAAGAATGCATGCAAGGCTATAGTAGCATCCAGTATTGTCTTCTAGGTATTGCATGGGTACCATGCGCTGTATGGTTATCTGTGCCAGAATAATGCAAGTGGGTCGTTAAAAGGTGAACATTTTGGCAGCACTCATTTTTTGGCTTCGTTTGGAGTGGCATTTAGTAGCTCGAGATCGGACAGCTGCTGTTTCGGATCACCTACACAGGCCATCACAGAACATAGAATGTACCCTTATTCCTGCGTCGAACTTAAATCTATGGCGCTACTACCTTGTACGACCAGTGGACTGTTCAGTGGCATTTAAGCTCCTATAAAAGTGGCCTTTCTTCTCTGCAGAATTTCGCCAAGTCCATTTTCCCAATCCTCCAGTCAATCAAAATGCGGGAGGACGGCATCACCACCAAGCAGGCTCAACCTGAAGCCAATCAACCACCCAAAGTAAGCATCTCACTGATAGACGAGTGTGTGGGCTGCTGCACAGAAGTGCAAATCTTCGGTTATTTTCCGAAGCAGTGTTCTCTATGATACATCTGGCATATTCTTACAGCCGCTTTGGCTTGCATGAAAATAATCCAGAGCCTACATTTAGTCAGTGCCAGAGAATGCATACCCGAGCTGAATGTGCGTTCACTCACCACAGCAATCTAAGTCCGTTAAAGGCAACGTGCCACTACTTTCATAGCTTGCGTAATGAACCCACCTTTTTTTTCAGAAAAGTTGATGCCGATTTGGGGGAGGGTTCATTACGCGGGAGAAAAAAGTCACTGGAGCTATAAAAATAACAGCAAAAATTTCGCATGATTGTTTTGGTCGGTGAAATGCATCTTTTTCGCAGCCCAAAGTTCTTGTTTTCTTTCGTAGCAAACGCGCACGGATCGATGCTGAAATGTCGTCCAGCCGCTCGGTTCCCATGCTCAAGCGCATGCAGCCGTATAGCTAGCATAGTGGTTCAACGCGCCCTGCGCAGCAGGTGTCCAACTAAAAAAGAAATCCAACAACGAAAACTCGGCGTCAGATGGCGGTGCACCGACACTATGCATGCACAACTTGTCATCGGCACTGTGGGGGCGGTTGTGCTTTGCATCGCCTGTGAGATGATTGGCGCGTAGCGTGTTTTTATGCCGCGCGCCCCCCATCTTAGAGGCCATGCGCTTTGGTTCTTGCTGTGTTTTCGTGCCGCTATAAGCAAAAAAGGTTTCTCCTACATTCGGCAGATGGCGCTCTATCGCAAAAGGCGCAACTTTCAAATTTTGATTGATGTCGTCCGCGCTCGTGCTGCTCGCAACTGTTTAGCATCGTTGCCTATGTTCTGACTTTTATTGCATCATTATTTTGTGACATAATGGCTTGATTTAACATTGTTTCGATCGTCAATGGCACTGGCTACCATACCAAAATAAAATGAACAGATATATTAAAGTATGTTTTCTTTCTTCAAAGACCAAGATGGGGGTGGGTTCATTATGAAAGTGAATTCATTACTCGAGTAAATACAGTACATCTTGCTGCAAGTGCCTTGGCAACAAGAGGAACCAGACTCTGCGACAATTTATCTTGGCATTATAGCGAAGGCTACAGAGGCCTTCACTCATCCGTGTTGTCGTGCAAGTAGTGCGGTAGCTTGCGGCTGATTTCTGTTTGGCTCGCCCGCATTTACGCGTTTGAAATCGAATAATTATTTCAATGTTTTAGTCTAAATTTGATTGCCATGTTGTGGGTGCACACTGACCTACTAGGTCATGGACGCCATGTTTACTTTGGGAAACGGGTGTGCTTAAATGGTGGTGCTGTCTGAAAATTGAAAGAAAGGCATTCTTTCAAAGTGAAAAATAACTATTTTACCTACAAATTCCCTGAGCTGTCAGTCTCATAATGAATAAACAGCGCTTGTTTCAGAAAGGCCAAGAATATAAATACCAGTAAGCTTATGTAGTACTATTTTATGACACGGTAGCAAGCATGCGCTTTGGTTCTACAACGCTGTGAAGCAAAGCGGATTTTAGGTTTGAAGCTAATTTAAAGTGAACAGTGATTTTGATCGAATAATTTTGAATTGAATTCGAATAGTATATATCATGCATTATAAGAAAATTGGCATATTTGTACAGCCTAACTAACCTGCATAGAATTTTTAAAAATTTAAACAAGGCCTGTGCAAATGCCTTTTTTTTTGTTCGAAGGAACATGAAACAACTTTGAATAGTAACAGGACGTGACTTCCTGTAGAATGCAAGCAATAACCTTCAAATTATGTTCATTTTAACATTTTTAATACTTAGAGCATATAAGCTAGTGTAACAAGCTTTTAGCCTGTAAAAATGTCGAATTGATGGGAGCGTATGATGCTTATTTAAGAGGGGACATGGGTCTTGGTGAGGAAAAAATGCCCCCAAAATTTGATTTTTCAATTTTGTGATTTTCGTTCTCTTCATATCATCGCACGCCTGCCAGTGAAAAATCAGTTGAAATGATGCGCATTTAACCCAAATAAATTGTATTTATACGTAGCAGCACTTGGTTTCACTTACGAAAGCGCCAAAAACGGCCATGTTTTGCCTTGCTCATCTCGCGCTAACCACTCATCAAAACGCGGCCATCTTAGCCTCATTCGAAAGAGTATCTTTTCGGCTTGAGTTCCTGCCGAAAGCAAACCTCCAATGCTGCTGCCAATGTGCGCTACCAGGCAAAAACAAGCAAAAGAATCACACCATATCATTGGCCAATGGCAATCATGTGTGCGATTGGTGCTTTTTGATTGGAGAACGTGGACTGACAAAACTGGCTACCATGCGTGTGCGGCCTCTACTTGCTTGTTCATCGCCATTTCTGAAAGTTTTGCAATCGGAATCGAGATGCCGAACTGTGCTCGTAAGTTTTGCACGCTGCATCAATTCGGTAAGTGGCGCAAAAAACGTGCCACACAGCCCGAGGAGTCAGCAGCAGCTACATCGGCACAGCCGAGTAGGACAGTTGATGGGCAGATGCCACGGTGAAGTAGCCTAACACAAAGGCAGCCACCGATCGCTACAGCTTCTAGCAGTGGCAACACGCGTCCACGGTGCCATAAATCATCACAGTTGTCAACAGATATCTCTGATCACACCTCGGTGGAGAGGATGCCGCAATGAAGCGGCAGTGCAACACACATAAAGACTGTGATCGGGATGGCGTCCACGGTGGTGTCGGAATCGACTGATCACGGTGATAAGCCAGGAAACAACGTCGTCGCTCGTAATTACGACGGTGGACAAGGTTGTTGCTGCAGAAGACCTTGCAGCCACAGAAAGCATGGCGGTGATTGCAATCGCTGCCTCCCCTACTGCAGGTATGTGAGATTGAGCGGACTGTGCAAGGATAGACGATACATTTTTTACCTCGGCTGACTGGAATATCATCGAGCGTCATGCACAACAGAAAGCAGCGGAGCTATCCTCGATCTCGGCACAAAATGAGTGTTCTCGCGAGTGAGTGCGGTACCGGAAGTTCGTCAGCCACAACGCATACAATTGTTGACCTTGACATGGTAAACAGGTTACTTCACGAATGTTCTTCTTGCCTAGGGCGCTGTGGACAGCTGGCTATTAAACGCGACGGACGCGAGTCAAAGCTTCAGTGCTGTAACTGTGGGGAATGTGGCTCAAAATGGAGTTCGCAACTAGTTGGTGCTAACAATAACTGCAACCTGTTCGAGATCAACGTTTACACGGCGTGTGAGCACAGGAAACGGGCAGACTGCACTGAACGACATCTTTGCCTCTATGGGGGTTTCACTCCCAGGTCATCGTACGAAGACCTACTTGCAGTACCTAAAAACGAAGCTCCAGCCCGCAGCAACGAGAGCTTGTGCCTATCATATGGCTAAATGTGCCGCAAAAGTGAAGAGCCTCTCCAAGGACCCTAATTTTGGCAACCATGGAAATGTTGCAGTCTGTTTTGATGGAAGCTGGCACACAAGAGGACACACCTGTGGCCTCCATAATAGATGTTTTTTCAGGATATGTGCCTGACTATGTAGGGCTGTGTAGTTTTTGCCTCAGCTGAGAATGTGCCCCAAAACTCGTCTGCTCGAATAAGCACTGAATATTTAGTAAAAAACCACTGAATTTTTTTGGTTTTATGAGAAAGCAAAAATTCTAATTAACAGTGATCTGTGACCCGAGAAATCTGCTCCCAAACTAAATTTTGATGCTCCGAAATACACTTTTTGGTGCTTCAGAGCTGCTTCAAAATTCCCCTTTTACTGCTCCACATCTGCTCTGAAACCATAATATTCCTGCTCCCAAAGCTGCTCCAAAAGACTGAAACACACTTCCACCCCTGTGAGTGCATTAATAGAGTTTGTCACCCAGCAGCTAGTGTCTACCTACATTCACTTTCTTTGTTGTAAAGCCAGTGAAAATGAGTGGTGACTATTTTTGTGTATGCGGGTGTTTTCTCCATGCAGGCCACACCAGTGCGTGCTATGCCGCAACCAGCTGTTTACAACCGATACGATCAGGAACGTTTCAGGGGCAAAGAAGGTAGGCGATGCACAAATGTTTGGACCTAGCCTTCTTACTTTGTATTGTGTCTTGTTTGTATAAGCTATGATGAAGCTCCTAAAGTGCACATGCCGCCAATCCTCACTGAGTCAACGCAACATGCTGCTTGCCGCAATTGCTGTGGACAAAACCGCAGTACACGTGATCATAAATAGCAACAGTGGAGTCTGAGTGAGAGTTAAAGGGGACGTGGCAATCAAAACTATCTTTGTTATTTATGAAGCTAAAATGATGAAATTTGGCACACCCGATATGATTTGTTATGCTGATATCATAACTGAAATCAGTTTTGAGCTATCTCTTGTAGTTTTTTAGTTACGGCACTTGATATAGTCTCATTGTCATCCCAAAATTAATCAATGAATTAGACAAAATATAGTCAAAATTTTTTATTGAGCATATTCAGAAGGGCCCACTGGGTGCCGTAAAGCTATTCCTTAATTTTTTTAATGTCCACACGAGCACAGAAAAAATTTTTGAAATGTCCTATAGATATTTTCTTAACGACAACTTTTGCGAAAATAGAATTATACAAATTTTTATGACGGCCGGATAAAAATGAATAACGTTATAGCGCTCACAAATGTTTCAGGGTCTAAGTGCAAAAAAACAGAATCATTTTGTCTTCATTAGCTATGAAGTAGCACTTGGATGACCGACAGCAACTGCACAAAAAATGGAAGCTGAGAAAACGGAGCTCAAAGTTTTATTCCATGAAAGCAGTTAAACATTAACTTTGAACACCTAAAACCCGCCTGGGATGTATTCCTTTGCCTCTGCAGAGGCATTTTGTTTTGATTTTAATCCAGTTTTTTGCTTCTTTGGAGCAGTTTCGTGCACTTTGGTCGCCTTTTTCATGCGCCGTGCGTACTTTTCAGCAGCGCGCCGCAGGGAGCACGATCCTGGAGTGCACCCAAGTTGTGGTGTGATCTCTTGTAGTGCTTTTCCACAGCCAGCATTAAAACGGTAAACTGCACCTGCCACAGAACTCTCAACATTTAGGAGAGAGGCAAACTGTGTTTTGGATTGGAGCGACCAAATCACATTGTTGAGAGATTCAATGGCATTTTGAGTTCTGCCCTGCTGGCATCTTTCTAGAAGTTTCCTTGCTGAAAGGCGCTTATATATATATATATATATATATAGACAGGAGTGCTGCCCGAACATGTGCAGGAAGCTGCAGCTTGTGTGCAGGTGCTAGTTCCCCTGAGGCTGCCGCAGCATTAAACTTACACCACGAGTTCACTCCAGTAGGGCAGTGCTCATGGCGTGGCTCATATCAGTGGATGTAACATGGTAAAAAGTAGCCATGATGGCCTTTTCCATGGCTGGCACATCGTTTGGGTTACTTTTGATGGCCCATTCATAATAGTTGGTGAGCTTTTTAATTAAGCCTTGTGAGAGGCGGCCTCTTCCGCTCATGCCGAGCTCTCAGTCCTTGCTCTTGTTTTTCTCAACCAGGTTGTGCAAAGCCGTGCCCATTCTTTTTTTACATCGTTCACACATTCTTTCTTTTGTATGGCTATAAAGCCATACACCTTATCCTCACTGAGGGCACTATACATGCGGCTATCGCCATCGCAAAGGATATTTGTATAGTGGGGCAGATGTTTTTGGAGTGATCGCTGAAACATGGTCTTTGCCGCAATTGTTTCCATCTGCCCTGCATTTGCCGCCGTGTTTTTTTGACACTGTGGTTCATGTTTTTCATACCACTCCAAGTATCCACTGTCTTGAGGCTTTGGTCCGAGAGCACAGCCTTGGCAGTAGTTGGAGAGCACACAGTGGTCCAAGACAAGGCCAGAGTATAACTCGATGACACAGCCAACACCGATGTGGCTTGTGTGGCCCCTTGTCATCCAAGTGCCATCGTAGATGATGTCAATGTTCCTTGGGGAAGATCCAAGGTCCCCATATATCTGACGCACCTTCTCTGCACTTGCTGCCTCTATTGCTGTGGCTGCAGATGCAGTGGCAGGGTGGCTACGCTTGCAGTGCAGCCTCCTCTAGAACTTACGATGCAGTCCCCTATGCGAAATGTTCATGTGGGAAAAAATATCGTTCAGTGCAGTTTGATTTTTGACAACAGACTGCACAGCTCTCACCGCACGAACGTTTATTTCAAATGGATTGATCTGCTGAGGACCAGCACATCTTGGGGATGACCACTTATTACTTGTTATCCCACAGTGGTCGTATATCACTGCCATTTTTGTTGCGAGCCCGAGGCATAGTCCAGTTTCAAAACGAACTGGGGCCCTCCCACACTGGTGACAGCGAAATTCGGACAGCAGTTTGTCCATCATCACTTTGTTTACAATAAAAAATGATGCCTCGAGAGCAACATTATCGCACTTTTGCCATCGTTCATTAGTTGAAATTTCCTCTTCGTGGCCGGAGTATCAGATAACGCATTCAAAGCGTCTGCTCGCATTTCTTCTCGTCGCGCAATCTCTTCAGCAGTGAGAGTTGGAGCCGAAGTCCGCTGTTTAATACTTGATGCGCGAACATCTGTGGTTGCCAATGTCACGTTGCCGTTGCTTGCAGAAGCGCGGTCTCCACTGCTTGTGGACGCGTCAAGGCCGCACGCGAACTCGTCAACTCAGCACGGGGACACATCAATACCACACGCGGACGCGTCGCGAACACCGGACGCGCCGTCAGCCCTGCCCGCGGTCAGTTCGTAACCAGCTCATATGGATGTACTGTCACGGTCACACATGGGTGAGCTTTCCCGATCTCCCATGTGCTCCGGCGTTTCCTGCTCGGCGAGGTCAGCGGCATTCACTTCTGTGTCCAGCTTTCTCCTTTTATTCCACGGCTTTCCCGATCTCCCACGTGCTCCGGCGTTTCCTGCTCGGCGAGGTCAGCGGCATTCACTTCTGTGTCCAGCTTTCTCCTTTTATTCCACGACTTTCGCCGTTTCCTGTACGCGTGGGCCGTTCGGTACTTTGCTCTTTTGGGGCTCATCGCAGAACTCACGTGCTTGGTTGCGACGATCAAGACGGGAATGAACAAAACACGTAGCTCACTCTCGCGCAAATGCACGCGAAAGCCATTCAAAACTTATACAACCAATAGGAGCGCGCCATGTGCCCCCACGTGACTATTGCAGCCAGTGGTGATGCCACTTTTGCTCTTCTTTTTGCTCGCTTTTGCTGGTTTTATTTTTCGTTGAAGGAATATGGCGCTGCAACTATCTTCAGCTCCGATCTCTCCTCTTCACAATGACACCAAGATGGCGGCGCTCCGTCGTGTGAAAGCCGTGGAATTTTCGATGCGGTGGCACCTTCCAAAGCCCGATTTTCTCGCGGTTTTCGATGATAACACACATATAAAGTGCTGTTTTCTCGATTGTTATTGTATATTTCGTTATAATATTTCACCACGAGGTAGAAGAATGTCTGAGAATCACGAAAAAAAATTAATCCAAAATTCGAAAATTTTGACCAAATTGATCGTTCTTATTGCCGCGTCCCCCCTTAATGTTGCAAACAGTGCATGCAGTTCCCAGACCAGAGGATGAGTCATAAACACCAGATTTTTCCCAGCTGTTGTGGTCTCTGCATGAAATTTTAAAGCAACAAAATTTTGCAACAACGAACTTTGTTATGGTACAGTTGAAATCTTTTATTAAAGACATGTTGCCGGGAACAATTCGAGTCTTCTATGGGAGATGTCTCTCTAAGCACGGCACCATGTATGCATTTTTCTATCAATGCCTGTTTACACGCCTGTGCGTGTACACAGGCATTCTCATCACGCAGTCGCACAGGCACAGGCACATGAGAAGCTCATACAACACGGTACGAGCTTCTCATCACGCAGTCACACATGATATCGTGACATTCCACGGCCACTCCGTACTAGGACTTCATTAGTGATGCACTAGTGGTCATTTTGAATGTTTTGGTGACGTACAAGCAGCCATTTTGGAAGTTTTGGTACCAGACATCATCACCGTGACGTCAAGCTAGTGTCGACGCTGGTAGGTGTGCTATGAGAAAATTGACTTCAATATCGAAATAAAGTATCTTGCCAGTATTTGCCGAACCCTACACTTGCTCGTAGTTCTCCCTGTATAGCACTATAAACACACCTCCTAAAAATAGTGTTAGTACCTCCATGAGTGTGTGTTGCTTTTTCTTTGCCCTCACTATCTATAGTTGGCGAAAGCAAATTGTACCCACAGATGTGTACAGATCACCGAAATGAGGAGTTACTTATACCAGAAGCTTACAAGATTTCTCGTAGAAGAGTGCCAGAAGCAAAGAAATTGTTCTTCTGATGAAGCAGGGCATTATACCAGAAGCTTACTGGATTTGTTGTTAAAGAGTGCCAGAAGCAAAGAAATTGTTCTTGTGATAAAGCAGCGCATCGAAGTATACAAAAACAGACACATGTAAAGAACGCAGCCGTGTGTATGTGTTTTGGTATCCTTCTTTGCACTGCTTCATCAAAAGATCATGGCTTGCCGAATAGCCTATAAGAAAGAAATTGTGGCTTGACTAGCAACGTATTTACTCGTGTGTGTTTTATACCTCCACTTCGTCAATCTGCAATACGCTTGTCTTTGTACATTTCTTGTTCACTGCAGAGACGGAGGGCTTCAAAATTGACACAATGGGTACATACCACGGCATGAACTTGAAGTCGGTGACCGAGGGCAGCCACCCTAAGCGGCCTGTACCCTCGGCCACTCCAACACCAGCCGCCCATGCCACCGCCCCTGTGGCTCCACCTGTGGCCCGGCCATTACTAAAGAGAGGTAAGAAAAGTTGGCTTGGCCTTTTTTGGTTGTGCATACAAGCTTGCACAATACTCATAAATTTGTAGTGCAGGGTAGAAGGCCTTGTGGCATTTGTTCAGTGACGTCCTTATTCACGGCCATTTTAACTAAAGCTATGTTGGAAGTCCCAGCAGGTAAATGGTTTGGTAATGTCTCATCGTAGGCACCCCGAAGTGTTATGCATGGGGGTATTGGGGAGCGGGTAGTTTCATAGGAAGATCTTTTGTATTTTCTGGATGAGAGAGGCTAGTATTTGAAGGAGAACCAGTCATAGGAAAACAGGTCAAGTGGTGCTTTGCTAGACTAAACCTTCCACTGCGATGTTTGATCCCCTCTTCTCTGGGAGCATACTCATGAACTGGTGTACTGGGCTTTCTTAGAGCTGTGCTAGGTCTGGGCAAAGATACTTTAAAATTGTATCGTTATACAATACAAGATATTCAAAAAATAAGTATTGGAGATACAGATACAAGGTACTTCCGCAAAACTTGTATTCTATACGATACTTGCCGATTGTATCTCAAGATACTTTTTGTTGTTATAGACTTTCACTATGTAGTAGCAAACGTGTGGGGACTAAGACAAGGGCTTGAAAACTTCTGAAACGTGCCCAGTTTTATTTTAATGAAATATTTGTTGCTATCTCAAAAGTTTTATTTCCCTAGAACTTATTAGGCTTTGATTTAGCTGCTTCACCGCGCAGCTCTGTAGACACTTCGCTGATAGCGGTTCTTGCTTGTCAGTTGTGCAATTGATGGGAGTTGCTGCTGAGCTTGCCGACCAGCTAGCGGATCTAATTGCACGAGATTCAATAAAAAGCCCTCGCATGATGGCGTAAATGCCAGTGTGCAGTTTTAGCTTGCCCATAAAAGATTGTTTTGCAATACTGAATCACTGCTATACAGTAGCAACAAATCAGAGACATTTATTGTGGAACATTGTGTATAGAAGCAGGTCTACATAGTGCCTATAAAGCTGCAATTACTTTTTTTATTGTTCTTATTATCCAGCGTGAACTATCTGTTATCTTTATATTCACTTATGTGTAAACAATTGTCTTGAGGGAGAGGACAGAAAGGCCACAGACCTATTGTGCTGTCACGTTGTGGTGACTATGAAGAAAGCAGCAGTCACTCTGGTAGAAATGAAACTAATGAGTTAACTTGTGGCCAGAAAACTAACTGGTTCAAAGTACAAGAGAAACATTCTGTGCTCTGATAGTGGCAATAGGTGTCGTTGGACTTTGGTAGTCTGATCATTTGCAGAACACGTTTTGTATAAATTTATACAGCAGTGATCGTACCTTACAGCATTATCGCTCGTTCATGCGTAAGGTCACAAATTATGAAGTGTGTGTGTACTACACGTAATCTGAATAATAGTTGTTCAGTTTTTACGTCCTAAAACTATGGTATGATAATGAAAACCACAGAAATGGAGGGCTCCGGAAATGTTGAACACGTGGTGTTCTTCAATGTGAAAGCAAATCTAAGCACATGCGCCTCTAGCATTTCACCTCCATCGACATGCGGCCGCCGCAGCAGAATTTGCGCGTTGCCTTCGCAGCACAATCCGAATCAATCTCAAAGTTCGCGAAACATTGCGAGTGGCTTGCGTCGAGTAGTCTTAAGTTTTTGTGGCTTAGACCCAATCACACTAAAAAAAGAAAAGTGTGTGTGGCACCACAGTTGCACAAATCGTGGTGGGACAATGCCGCTATTCACGCTATTGCCGTCTATAGATAGGATTACGTGGCAATTAGTAATAGTTAAAAATGGGGAGGACTAAACAAAGAAAATGATTACAATCGAATCTCATTATTTCGAACACGCTTAATTCGAACTCACAATAAGGTCCCGTCAAAACTATGTGTATTCCAATGGGTGAAAACGCCCGGTGATTCGAACGCCCAAGCACTTCCGACGATTAATTCGAACATACTGCACTTCGAAAATGCTCTCACAACCCCGTCCAATCCCACCGCAGCACCTGCGACACCTCAACGCTGCCCGCGAAGGAAATGAAAAGAAAGAAAAGGCTGGGGTGGAATGTTTGCTCTCTCTCAAATGCCGATCTGCGACGCACCCGTGTCACGTATCTCCCTTTTCCGTCCCTGCCACATAAAGACCCTTCTCCTTTCAACGTCCCTGGCAAAGAGAGAGGAAAAAAAAGAAAACCGTCGCTGGGTTGAATGATTGTGTGGTTGAAGGGGAAAAAACGGCACTATGTTCTGCAGCCCTTGCCCCTTGTGGGAGCAGGGCTGTGCGCCTTGAAGGGAGGGGGGGCTCTCTCACGCGCCAGTGCCATGCTTCTCCCTTTCCCTTCCCTGCCACACGTAACCCTTCTCCTCTGAACAACCCAAGCGAAGAGAGCAAAAAAAAAAAAAAAAAAGAAAGCTGCCAAGGAGTGTTGGTTTTCTCTAAAATGCCGATCTTCTTTTCTCCGCATGGAGATGCTTCTTCATTCGCCTCAAGTGCTGGCCACGCTGCGGCTGCGTAGCGTAGAGCGGGAGGCTCTGCTACGCAGCAGTCATTGTTGTCGTCGTCTTTAGAAAGTGTCGGATGCTGGCGAATGCTGAAGCTGAAGTAGAAATGCTTTGCAAGCTGCGTGCGAAATTGATTGACTCGCTGCAAGGCAAACGTGTGCAGACGTGCATCACCGATTACTTCAATTAATACCAAACGTCCTGTGATTTGTGAGTAAATGCAAGTCATCTTAACCTTCCCCCTCGTGTGTTAGCTCAATGCACATGCGCCACTGCATGGAGAGCCCTCTGTTTATTTAGCTTTCATTAATTCGAACAAATTTTCAGGCCCCTTCGAGTTTGAATTATCGAGATTCGACTGTATAACTAGAATAAAAAAAGCCGTTCTGTTTCAAGCATTCGTGGTGAATATGTAGACATGCACAATGCAGGTGGAACTCCAATAGCTATGGCCATTAAGCGTAAAGTGTCGTCAACTTACCTGTTAAAATAAGACAATAAAAAACTTGTTATTATGGAAAATCACCTGAAATGGCTCGTTGGGACATTCGTATGAGAACGACCATCTTACATAACAATGTTTCTCGTATCCCTTTAGTGAGATCCTTATTATTGACATCAGGCCGGTGTGCTCGGATTTGGGTGCACGTTAAAGAACCCCAGGTGGTCGAAATTTTCGGAGCCCTCCACTATGGCGTCTCTCATAATCATATGGTGGTTTTCCGGACGTTAAACCCCACAAATCAATCAATTATTATTGACATCATTATGATACAAACTGAATTTGGACATTTTGCCAAGCAGTAAGCAGAATGTTTGGTGTTGTATACTCATTGTAACCCACACATTGACATATTTGTTTCCCATATCGCCTTAGCAGAAGAGTAAACCAAAGCAAATATAAATGTGTAAGTAGTAGCCAAAATAGTGCAGACAACTAAAGGTAAGGATAAAACAGAAAGCTTACTTTGCTTGTACTTTAAAAAAAGGCTTATTGCACTCACGAGACCGCAGAAAACCGGTTCAGAGGACTAGGTGATTTATGGATGCAAGGGAAAGAGAACTGAGAAAGCTCTTGTTCTGATAATCGTATTATAATTTCAAAAGCCCTTTAAATAGAAACAGCAGGAAGAAAGTGTCAAGATATCACCTGATGGGTATACATGCTTGTTCTATTATATAGAACGTCACTATACCGGTGGTGCTGCAGTTCCGGGCTGGAGAGCGCCATCAGAATTTGTGCGCTCGTCGCCTCACGCATTGTGCTACACAGTGCTTGCAAGTTGCTATGGGTGTGCAGTTTCACGGCTCTGAAAAGCAGCTCTGAAAAAAAAACTAAGAAGGGAAGAAACCTCGAAAACAAAAGGCACATGGCCAAGCACAGGAACATAGTTTCTGCCAAGACCACGCTAGCTCTGCTGTGCTAATCTGCTTCCCCAAAAGGGACGGGCACACCTCATCGCCTGCCCTGCCTGGTGGAGTCTGACACGATAAAATGATGTCTCTGCCCTTAGTTTTATTAAGGTGGCCTTATGGCAAGAGGGCCAGCCTAAGCAGCGGAGTTTAGTCAGCGATTAAGGTTTGGCACGATATAGCGTTGCGACCGCAGTATCTTGTATCTTAAAATACACGATACATTATCGAATACAGTGGACTTCATTAAACGAAACTTGGTTGAATAGAAAAGACGCGTAAATGAAACTATCCAGGCACATTTGGTTGGTCTCCTATATATTATTGTTAAAAAGTTTCGGGCAATCGGAACATTTTTTTTGTTTACGTCAGTTAAATGGAACTAAAACGGGCAAAATCCGTGAACGGCGGAAGTGACCACGGCAGTCTAGAAACCATGAAACAAATGCCAAAGTTAGCCTAGCCTAGCCAAGTCAATCCAGCGATTGCACATGTCTGCACACGTGGAGCACCAATCGGAGTCTTGTCGTAAACTTAAAGACAGCCTTAAGGAACCTATAGCTGAAGTTCAAGATGAGGACCTGTGCTCAAGTAGTGATGAGATGGCGTGTGATCCCGAGCTCATTTCAGTGGCTGATATTGCAGCAAGTGATGCCGTCATCCTGTTGCAGTGCTACTTTGAACACGATGGTGGCACAGAGTTCCTGCCCAGTAATGCACTCCTACTATGTGAGATAGTGCTTGACAAAGGCGGAGCAAATTTTTATCACCTCCTTTTTTTCAGAGTCAGGAATATTAGCAACATTTTTTTTTTTAATCAACTGTAGTAGTATTGTATACTTCAAAATTTGTTTGTTCAGTCAGCGACAGTTGGTGCTTTTGAAATAAAGTAATATTTAATTCATTTTGTGGGCTTTGCTTAAATGAAACTTCTCATAAATAGAACAAATTTTCTTGCCCCTTCGAGTTCTGTTTAAAAGGAGTCCACTGTATAACAAAAATACAGATACAGATACTAGTCTTGCGAGACGTATCCCCATACAGATACAAAATGCCTAAAGAGTATCTAGGATAGTATCTCAGATACATGAACCTTCGATACTGCCCAGTGCATAGCTGTGCGAATAGAAAAATTTTGGGTGTGAAGTGAATTCGATTGGTTTGCATGATCCAGTCTGCGCTGCAGTATGTACTCAGTATCATGCCACTTTGCTTGTAGACTTCTAATGTGAGCTTTATACAGTAGAACCTAGATACGTTCCCACTTAATGGGATTTTCCAGCTCCTACGTTTGAAATTGCAAGAACTAGAAATGGGGGGGTGGGGGGGGCATAGAGCTATGTGTTAATACGTTTCGCTTAATACGTTAATGGAAAATACGAATATTTGACAGCAACGTTCCGCAGGCAAAACTTCTCATTCAGGTGTGGAACAAAACTGTTTTCGCATGCTTGTAAAGCGCCAAGTGGTGACGAAGGTTCCTTTGCTGCGCTCAATTGTTACCCCTTTATCCCCCACGTCTTCTCTTACACTCAATCATCCCCTCCACGCTTTCTTTGAATGTCTAGTCGCCCTTTCCATTACTCCTGCAGCTGTTTGTAAACCAGACAAAGACCCGTCTGAGCCGTCAAGGTTTTCAAATGGTTTTCAAAAAATGCTTTTATTTTATGTAGCACAGTGTTTTTTTTTCTCAGCTGGCACCTTGGCACGATTTTTCTAAGCACTGCAAAGCCTTCATCTGTAGCACGGTATGTGAAAATGCGATCGTCCCACACTACAACAGCTGAGAGAACACTACTTAGTTAAGGGGGCAGACTGGTCTTTGGGACCAAAAGGGGACAAAAAATTCATTTTTTAAAATTGACATATTTGGTTTTTGCAAGTATTTTTCTCTCTGCAAATTTTCACACACCAGAAAGTGGTAATTTTTTTGTAATGTCATTCCAACTGTCCAGATTCTTGGTGCTGTTAACATGCAGAACCTGCAAAAAAATGGGGAACCCACTTCGAAGCTTTTTTATAATTTTCGAACACCTGTTAGAAGCTCTGCTACGATTTAGTGGCTAAGGTACTCGGCTGCTGACCCGCAGGTCGCGGGATCAAATCCCGGCTGTGGCGGCTGCATTTTCGATGGAGGCGGAAATGTTGTAGGCCCGTGTACTCAGATTTGGGTGCACGTTAAAGAACCCCAGGTGGTCAAAATTTTCGGAGCCCTCCACTACAGCGTCTCTCATAATCATATGGTGGTTTTGGGACGTTAAACCCCACAAATCAATCAAGCTCTGCTACGAATTTATGAGCACCTTTATGAGGATTGCCAAACATGTGCACCATTATTGTTGCTTTTTAAAGAAGCTGTGTGTTTTCAGCTTTTTTTTTTTTTTTTTCATTTTATCCAAGAAATGAAATTTACGACAGTTCAATTTAGAGGCCTCAGTATCACTGGAGCTAGGGCTGGTACAACAATAATTCTTTTTGCTATGGAAACCTGTATGTGTGTAGAATGCAAGTATGGGAGCAAAGTTTGGAGCCCAAGCCATTTTAATTAATTACTCATCAAAATTGTAACACAATTCCAACTGCTTTTGAAAATTGATAGTTCATTTTACTGTTAAATAACCAAGAAAGGCCTAAAAGCAAAAAATTCTTCCATACTTTCAATCTATAGTCATTAGTCTTTGTTGGCATATCTTAAATATCACTTTCAATTAAGCACTTTTTTTCTATGGCAGCCTTAAACAACAGGAGGTGAACTTAAGTTATCTCAGAAACATGAGGAGTTACAGGAAAACTAATTAAGTATTTGAATTTGGTAGACAAAACCGCATAATCCTGTGCTGTTTTATCAAGCTCACCGAAAAAATAAACAAAAAAAAATGTGTAAGACCAGTCTGCCCCCTTAACCATCACGTCAGCATGAGACGCTGGTGCTGCCTTCGCTACACAACGGGCCGCTACATCTGCCTCCTCTCCCGACCTCGTCTCGCGGGCTGCTTGCATCTGCCAGCTTGTTTTTCAAGATTTATGAAGCCATGCACATTTAAGTATATTAGCCACGCACCTTTCAGTGGGAAAGATGCGAATGCGACGTGCCTATCTTCCCCCACTAATTCCCATGTCATTAGCACAAGATGCGTGCCCCGCTGTGTTATCAGGGTGTCTGAAACTATGCAGGTTAACCTCCATCAGAAAGGAGCACTGCCCAACAAGAGTCGTCATCAGGGCCTCTGTGATTGTCGCTACTTTGAGGAGGAAAAAAAATAATTGGACACGTGCAGGTCGGGCCTTATACATGGCTGCACATTGCTCAGTACTTCGCAATTTTAGACAGTAGCGTCCAGCATGGCGGTGGGGAAGTGCAAGCCCTTGTCAATTAAGGTGAAGCGAAATATCCTTCGACGGCAGTTTGCATCGGAGGATACAGAGCGCAGCGAAAACAACGCTGTGGTGTGTGCGTCTGATGATGACATTGATGAGGAGTTCCTCTTCACCGATGCCGATGCAACCTTCACCGGGTTCGTCTCGATAGACGACAATGTTCCTACTTGCGTGCTGAAAAGTGTCGCGAGATTGTCACGAAGTAGGTTTGGGGTAACGCAGCGAAAGAGGTGGAGGACGAGGCACTGGAAGACAGCAGCAAGAACAAAAGTGGGCACGGACTGGCCAACTTCGTTGAAGCTGTTGCTGGGCTGGAAGCTTACAAAGCTTCTTTTGCACGAAAAATAATGAAAATGTGGACAAGGGTCAAGAAGGGGTGCAGAAGGAGCTTTTCTGGTCTAAGGGTGAGAGGCAGCAGCAGAAAATTACTGTTTTTTAAGAAATTTTTTTTTTGCACTTACACTTCCATATAAGCTTGTCAGCCTCAATTTTTGCTGGATTCGGCCTGTATGTTTTCCCAGATTGTACGTTTATCTTCTGCCCTTTTTTTTTTGTTTTGAAAAGGTATCATCGAGGTTCCACTGTATAACCAAAATGCTTAGTGTTAGGAGAGGCGTGCTGAGCAACTTACATGGTGTTTACTTTAGGCAGTTGATGATTGATGGTCCTAGGCTATAAATATTCTTCACAAGTTGCACTTAATTCTTTTGAGCAGTGTGCTGGCCGCCTAGACCATGTAAGTATTTATTTACAGAAAAGCATGTTTAGTTACCTAATAGATTTCATTCTCATAAAAGAACAATGACAAATGGCTGAGCAGTTGAAACTGAAAGGGAGAAATAAGCTCACTTTTTGATATCTATTGCTGTGTAGAGGTGGCACCTTTGCTTGTGGAGTTAATTTTACGTGTCTAGCCCTTGTTCATTTCTTAGAGTGTGCATTCTAAGAAATTGTCACCACAAAGCCAGTCTGCCACAACTGTGTTGAAGCTTTTTTTATCCTGCCACAGGCAACTTTGACTGCCTTTGTAACATGGTTAACTTTCAACTGGGACCTCTGTTGGCGTCAATGCATATTCTGGGAAATTGATCCTACCGCTAACGTGAAATTTTATCTCAGTTTTACTCAATTGCAGTTCAGTGTATCTCATGTGACATTGATGTTAGGTTATGGTAAGGGAACCAATTCATCTTGTTTGGAAATAATTGATCCTAATTTTAATGAACCTGAGTCAGTATGATCATTGCTTCATTTTTAATCCAATGTAGTTAAATAAAAACTTAATTTTATAGTGAAAAAGCAGGTAAGCTGAGCTGTTGGTACTACTGGCTGTACAGTCGCTCGGACTGCACTCGCAGTGTAGTAACATTCGTTGCCTAGCTATTCAAATGTTCCCTATTCTTGAGTCGTAAAACACGGTTGTTTGATTGCCGTAACTGTGTGAAATCTCATATTAAGTACTTTTTTTTGTACATTCTCTGTGTGTTCTAAGGCTCTAGCTCTAAATATGACTTCCTGTCTGCAACTCTGCAGGTTAACCTCCACCAGAAACGAGAGTCGTCGTCAAGACCTCAGTGATTGTCGCTACTGTGAGGAGAGAAAAAAAATATGAGAATATGCGTCTGGCCCCGTACGTAGCTGCAAGTTGCTCTGTAGTTCGAGATTCGAGATACTTGCATCCAGCATGGTGGTGGGGAAGCGCAAGTCCTTGTCAATTAAAGCAAAGCTGAATATCTTACGTGCACCCCAAGTACATATTTGGAAACATTGCATTGCAGTCCTTCCTAGCGATTAGCGCAGTACTGCCCAATGACACTTAATTTGGCTTTGTTAGGGCTGCTTTCATGTTAATATTGTGTAATAATAGTCATAATAATAAGTTTGTTATACTTTCTGAATTGCTGAGAGGTGGAAAATGGTATCGACTATAAGGTGGAGGAGCACAAGTGTTCTAGGCAATGGAGCTAATTATGACGATTGAAGGGTTGAAAAAGTTTGAATTGTGAGGCTTCTTGCCATACAGGTTGTTTCTGATGCAAACTGTGCTACAGGTTTTTTGGGGAAGACGTTGTAGTTTGTTGGATGAAGCTATTTTTTTTAATGCACCAGTTACGGCTACATACTCATGCAGGCTCATGGAATCTGGGCTTTGCAAATGTTTCTTACAGTGTCACGGACACCTATCATCATTATTCCGGCAGCCACAACCTCACTCATCACCATGTACAATGCAAAGGATATCCTGCAAGACCTGAGGTGAGGGACCCAGAATAAAGTTTCTGATTCGGTGTTGATAGGAGTTGTAATTATAGTGGCTTCACTGTACCTGGTAAGCACTAGAAAGTGAGGTATTAGCCCCAGGATTGTGCAGAGCTGCCGCCTGGTGGCCACTGGCTGAAGCTTGCCTAGTGTAGATTGCTCCCTGCGTCTGCTAGCCACATAAGACTAACATGAGCGTGTATGTCATGCTCATCCTCAAAGGGTGATTCGTCCTGCTCTATTAGCGCAAGTTTCACTGCTTGCACGTTTGCCCAGCTAGGTCTAGAGAGACATTTGGCCTTGCTTTGCTGTATATGCACTGAAATAAGATCAGTTTGGGCACTCATCGAGAGTGCTGTGTATTGTCATCATACCCTTCGTTTGCCAGGATAATGTCGGTGTAGGTGCCGCGTTTTAGTTGAAGCTCATGGTAAAGTGCACTAGGCGTCATCCCAAACATGAGGAGTACTAACTATTGTGTGAACTAAGTGTTATAAAGAGCCAGTGGTAAAGGAAGTTTTGCATTGTGGTTTGGTGTCTAAACTGCGGAGCTGTTACTCATCGAATGAACTTCAATTGTTCTTGAGATAACCTTTTATTGTACAGTCCTTTTCCCACTACAGTGAAATATTTGTCTAGTAAATTCTGAAACTTTTGGTATATGAATTGTTACTAAAAAGAGAACAGAAATATGAATGGCACGGAGCTGATGAAACTTGAATCACCGCGCACAGCTTGAAATTTATACAGACACACTCATGTGCTTAGATTTAAATTCGCTTTAAAGAATTCCCATGGTAAAAAAAAATTAATCAAGGCAGCGTGTCTCACGCTTATGTCATAATCTTACGGGAAACGCTTTTTTTTTTACACTAGCTTGAGCGCTTTTGTGGTGGTGTAATAGATTGACAGAAGTAGTGGAAATTATTATTCCGGAAAAAGCAAAACTTTTCTTTCGTCACATAACCGAATCATTGTTGCATCACTGTCATGCAGATAATCAATCGGATAATGCTGCATGCTGAACTGGTACTGTTTTATACTGTTATTGGAGCAAGAATAAGCGTGCTGAAGCGCTGTCAGCCACGCAGCTTTTCTGAATAAACTTATTAACTGTCCTACATTAATTTCCTGGTGAACTGAATGATGAAGAAATGCATTTCCACATTCGCGGTTCTCATCGCTCAAGAATATGAGATTTTTCCTCTGTTTTTTTTTTTTTAAGTGTTTAAGACCAGCATGTATGAAGCAAAGAATGAATTCAGTCGCACAGTGCGTAGTAGGCGATACGCAAGCTCTGAAGTTGAAAATAAAAATACAGTAGAATCTCTATACGAATACAGTTGATCAAAATTTCGCGATGATACGAATTTCAAGTTTGCTTTGGAATGGACTACATCTTATATAAAATGCGCCGTAATTTGTTGTTATATGAATGGCTTCCTCAGCAACCACAGATAACATTAAAACTAAGCACTAAAAAAATGCATGCTTACTTAAAGAATTCTGTATTTCTTAAAATTTTTTTTACGCGTGCAGCACAAGAATAGTGCACTGCGAGTCCTTGTGGTGCGGCTACTGCTCACGTCCGTTCGCTGTGTCGTCTTCTTGCCTACCGCTCCCGTGGTCGCTACGAATTTCAGAACATGAGTTCGCTGTACTGAGCCGTTGTTAATATTGTAACGCAGACTTAAAGAGCGAGGAAAAAGAAGAGATCGGACGCTCTCGAGCGATAGTGATTCGGCAGTGGCGGTAGAGCGCTGACATTTTTCAGTGTAAATAAATCCATCACATCCGTAATAGCTTTGATGGAGCGGTGCTGGGTGACTTGCCATCCTGGACCCCGCAGCAGAAGTTCTTCGAAGAAGCAGACGCTTAGCTGGCCTACCCCCGGACAACATCAGCATGAACGACGACACAGCAATCCCATTGACGTACTACGCTGCTGCATCCACCAGTGCCACCGACACGGCACAAGGTGGCCGTCGACCTCGACAACCAGACTACTGGGCACCTGAGCCACGAATGTTCTGAGGTAAAACTGACGAAGACGTGGACTGAAGCACTTCGACAGAGTGAGCCGCTACTACGAATGGGGCGCACCGGCAAAGCTTGTGATCTTAGTATTCTTCCTTGCCGGGACAGCCTTGCTTTGGTTTGAGAACCATGAACATGTCCTCCCCACTTGGGATATATTTGTTAAGGAACAGAAAGCCTGCTTTGGGGACACGAGTTCCATGAAAAAGAAAGCTGAGCAAACGCTGTCACGCAGGGCTCAGTTGCTCGGCGAGACGTGCACAACCTACGTTGAAGAAGTATTGAAGCTTTGTGGGATCGACAACGCAAATATGTCTGATGAAGACAAAGTCGGTCATTTGTTAAAAGGCATCGCCGAGGGCGTGTACAATTTTTTGATAACGAAAGAAAACTTCAACACTCCTTCGATTTTCAGGCAGCAATGTCGCGCATTCGAGGCGTTGAAGACCCGGAGAATTTTACCCAAGTTTGGGCACTTGGACAATGTTCCCACTGTCGCAAGTATGGACGTCGCCACCCGCGAAGACATTCCCTTCCTCGTACGTCGGGTAGTTCGAGAAGAGCTCGTACGACTTCAAGCAGGTGATGTTCACCACCAATGCTCGTTCGCTGCGTGACCCGAACCACCTCCCTACTGGATGTGAGAGCGCCACGTCGAAAACCGACCACGCACAGAAACTGCAGATTTTACCCCGCGGCTTCCGTTTTCCTCGACGGGTCGCGGCCACCACCGGATGTCATCATCTCGACGTGCTGCTGCGGACCTCCGACCGTCGTCAACCAGGCCTCTACCAGAAGATTACTATGCGTCATCACAAAATGTTGCTGCTGAGCACGACCCGTTTCCGCGTACTTCTGCCACCTCTGCTCCTGCTAATGTAAGCCAACAAGTCCCCGTTTGCTACACATGTGGTCTCCCAGGGCATATTTCGCGCTTCTGTCCCAGACGGCCGCCTGCACCGCCACGTTTTTCTACGTATCCGGCTCGTAGGTACGAAACGCCTGTGCCGCCAGGTTTTTCGACGCACCCACCTCGTATGCACGAAACCTGGACCTCTCACCCGGCCAACCACCGTCCCCGACAGCAATGGCCTAACGAATTTCGCAGCGAGTCCCCCGCCTTCGAGCGAAGCCTGACGCCGGCTCCGACACGGTCTCGCCGGTCGCCGTCTCCACGTCGTCGGTCACTTTCCCCGCATCAGCTGGGAAACTAACTGGTGCGACCGATGGAGGTGCGGTCGCGGGACGGTCAGTTTTGCGAATTCCTCCTTCTGCTGTAATGTTTATGAACAAAGTGCGTGTGTATATAGACGGTGTAGATACTCTTGCTCTTGTAGACTCTGGTGCTGGTCACAAAGTTATGTTCGCGTGGAATCGTAAAGAAACTTTTCGTGGAGTTGGAGGCGAAGTGTTATGCCCTGTTGGTATTTGTTCAGTTGTACTTACGATTGGTGGACAAAATTTCCGAGTTGAATTCACTGTACTGGCTCGTTCAACTCATGACGTCATTTTAGGGATAGACCTCCTTCACGAATGCGGTGCTACGCTTGACTGTGGAACTGGAGAGATTCTTCTACAAAGTACGTTGCCCGCTGTAATAGTTGACGATTTTCCGACTCTGCCCATCGATGCGCTTTCGTTGTCTGAAGATGTGACGATCCCTGGTCGGACAGCAGTGTTTGTACCCGTATGCTCTTCTCATGTCCGCTCAGGACCCTGCACTGTACTTGTGAAACCTGATCATGCAAACGCCATCAAGAAGGATGTGCTGGTCCCACGGTCTGTCCTTACAGCCATCGACGGACATGCTTGCTTGTGGGCGCTCAACGCAGCCTCAGAGCCTGTTGTTCTACCAGCCGGATTCAAACTGGGAACGTTCGAGGAGCAGGCCACAATTGACGTCAGAATGGTCTCGGAGTCTCCAGCCATCAGTCAGACTGTGCCCAACTACTCAGCAGAGATTAAACGTATGATCAATAAGTCATTGCCTTCTTCCGAGCAGAATGTCCTTGAGGAGGTGCTTACACGCTACGTGGGAGTCTTTGATTTCGCTCAAAACAAGCGTTGTTTCATGTTGCCCGAATCCCGTATGCACCACCGCATCAACACGAAAGATGCTACACCGATACGCCAGAAATCCTATCGCGTATCTCGTCAGAGAGGCAAGTGATTACCGATCAGGTCAACGACATGCTGCAGAAAGGCGTTATTCAAGAGTCAAGCAGTCCCTGGGCAGCGCCTGTTATATTTGTAAAAAAGAAAGACAACTCTTGGCAATTTTGTGTAGACTACCGCCGTCTTAACGCCGTCACAAAGAAAGACGTGTATCCGCTACCACGCATCGACGATGCTGTTGATTGTCTGCACTCGGCCGCATACTTTTCGTCCGTCGACCTAAGGTCTGGATACTGGCAAATACCAATGCATCCGTCTGACAAAGAGAAGACTGCTTTTGTCACGCCTGATGGGTTATTTGAATTCAACGATATGCCGTTTGGCTTATGCAATGCCCCAGCTACCTTCGAGCGATTCATGGACTCCATCCTTCGCGGTCTCAAATGGGAGATATGTATGTGTTATCTCAATGATGTAATTATTTTTGGCAAGACATTCCACGAGCACAACCATCGGCTTAGCGTTGTTCTAGATTGCGTCAAACAAGCCGGTCTCGTTTTAAACGCAAAGTGTCATTTTGCTGAGCGTCAAGCCCTTGTGCTTGGATTTCTAGTCGACAGGGACGGTATATGACCAGACCCGCACAGAATCAGTGCTGTCCGAGACTTCAAGCAACCGACGTGTGTGAAGGATCTCCGTAGCTTCGTGGGCGTGTGTTTTTATTTTCGTCGGTTTATCAAAGACTTCGCCCAGCTTGCTCATCCCCTGACAGAGTTTGTTTGTTTGCGACTCCTTCCTTTGCTGTAATGTGAACTTTAACTTTATTGCGCATTTATACATAGTACAGATAACAGGAACAGACAAAAAACTAAACAACGGCTTGACGAGGTCTGTGTCCTTTTTTTTTTGTGTGCCTTGAGTGTGGTAATATTGCAATTTAATCGTAAATGTGCAAACACATCGTATAATTAATGCTAACATCACAAACTGCAACAAATATTTAGTCACTTATAAACACCCGCCTAAAATTATTGCTAGTTTCTCCAAGAAACTAGTGCCCCACAGCAAAGGAGCACGTGGGACCACGTGCGCTCAAGCTTCAGTGATGAGAAACCTGCAGCTTCCAAATCTTGCGTTGTGAAGAATGAAACAGTGTGGGTGCTTTCAGGTCGTACCCTCCAGGAAAAAAAAAAAAAAAACACTTTGGGAGTGGAAATCGTTGGGTGCCATTCATGGTTTTGTGTGTGCCTCGTGAATGTTCTGTGACATCGACAATACTGGCTTTTGGGGGGGGTGTCACAAGGAGCTCCAGTTTACACTCCAGTTTCCCTGACAGAGTTGCTCCGCAAAAACGCCCCATTCCGATGGACCTTTGAGTGTGAGGCTGCTTTCGAGCAGCTGAAGTATTTGCTTACTTCCGGGCCCCTCTTGCGCCATTTCGACTCGGAGGCACTCACGGAACTGCATACAGATGCTAGTGGTATCGGTGTTGGTGCCGTGCTAGTTCAATATCACAACAGCCGCCAGCACGTCGTGGCGTATGCAAGTCGTACTTTGACTAAGGCAGAGAGGAATTATACGGTCACCGAACTGGAATGTCTTGCAGTTGTTTTTGCCGTCCAAATGTTCTGAATTTTTGTACGGCAGTTCAAGATCGTCACAGATCATCATTCGCTTTGTTGGCTTGTCGGACTACGTGACCCAGCTGGTCGGTTGGCTCGCTGGGCCTTACGGCTTCAAGAATATAATTATTCTGTGACCTACAAGAGCGGTCGATGTCACGCAAATGCCGACTGCTTATCTCGTCTTCCATCTCCGACTGTGAATGCCGATGATGATGATTTCGACAACTACCTGGCTGCAATCTTATTCAACTTCCCTAATTTGGACGTCTTCCGTCACGAGCAACAACGTGACCCTTCGCTGAAACCAATGATTGATGTGGCTCGTAGCTCTAAACCCGCCACGCCATTCGTGATTCATGACGCCCTACTATATCGCAAGAATTACTCCAGCCATGGTTCCACACTACTCCTCGTCGTGCCAGAATGCCTGCGTCTTGCGGTATTCCAAGCCATGCACGATGACAGCACATCTGGGCACCTTGGGTTTTGCCCGAACGCTTCACCGTATCCGACAACGTTTTTACTGGCCTTGACTCTGGAAGACCACCAAGCACTACGTCGCTAGTTGTGATGTCTGTCAACGCCACAAACAACCTACCACACCCTTGGCCAGCCCACTGCAGCCGGTTAAGCCACCCACATCACCGTTCGAAAAAGTCGGCATAGATTTACTGGGCCCTTTCCCCAAGTCTACCACCGGCCGCCGCTGGATTATTGTGTGCGTAGATTACCTAACGCGGTATACTGAAACGATGGCGGTTGCTTCAGCCACATCATCTGATGTGTCATGGTTTCTTCTACACTCGATCATACTTCGTCACGGGGCCCCTCGTGTGGTGATAAATGATCGCGGCCGACAGTTTACCGCTGAAGTTGTCGTAGAGTTGCTACGGCTTTGTGGGTGTCAGTACCGTCATTCCATGCCATACCACCCTCAGACCAACGGCCTCACTGAGCGCACGAATCATACCATCATCAACATGCTTTCAATGTACGTCGCAGCGGATCACAAGAACTGGGATGCCATATTACCTTTTGTTACATACGCCTTTAATACCGCGAAACACGAAGTCACGAGTTATAGGCCTTTCTTTCTTCTCTATGATCGTCATCCGCAAAGTTTTCTTGACACCATACTACCTTTTTCGACGAACGAAAACTGCAGTGTGGCGCCGAAGAAGCTCGTCGACTTGCTCGGCTCCGAACTCTTTCCGCCCACGCTCGCGCGAAAGACCGTTACGACGCAAAACACCCGCCCGTGACTTTCGCTACAGGTGATTTGGTCTGGCTGTGGACGCTCGTTCGAAAGAAGGGACTTTGCCAGAAGTTGCTTTCTAAGTACTCAGGACCATTCGTCATTACTCGGTGCCTAAGTGACATCACTTGCGCTGTTGCGAAAGTGACAGCGCAGAACCGGCGTTCGCGCAAGACGCAAATTGTGCACATTGCCCGATTGAAGCCCTACAACAACCGATCGCTTCTACTCGCTCGGTGAGCTTCGTCTGGCCCGGAGGGAAATGTAACGCGGACTGAAAGAGCGAGGAAAAAGAAGAGATCGGACGCTCTCGAGCGATGGTGATTCGGCAGTGGCGGTAGAGCGCTGACATTTTTCAGTGTAAATAAACCCATCACATCCGTAACAATATAATGCAGAACTAAATTAGCACTCATTATTATGAAAAGTTTGGTATTATAAAGTACGTAGTAGTGAAATAATTTTATATTGAAACTATTAGCAGTCGGGGCGGTATTTTTTTAAAAGTTCATTAATCTGAAAAATTGCTTAATGTGGGGTTTGTTCTACCGAGATTTCACTCTACTAGCCGCTGCTGGGGCAACTTTGATACGTGACTGATTACATTTAGCACTTTCATCAGCTTGGACCTCGCTTATGTCACAAGAAGAAGCATTTGAAATGTTTGTTCATTTGGGACTAGGGTAAGAATTTAGCACACTTTATCATGCTGCTTGAGAATTTGGAGTTCCCTTTCCCAATTAAAAAAGTTACGCTGCTCCAGTCGTTTCCTTTCCTGTTAACCGGCTGCAGAGTGACAATTTTTTATGCTCCATGAGTTGCCCTGACAGTTCTTGCTGTCCCAACCCGGTTTCTTGCACCAGGTTTGTCAGCACAGATGAAAAAAAGAGTCAGGGCTGCAAACGTGAAAATGCAGTGCTGATCCAGCGTAGGCGCAACAGAGGAGCCACCGTCTCGTACCGAGTGATTGACAATCCCTCTACCTTGGCCCCTGAGGATTGGTGAGTCTCGCCGCTCTTCAACGTACGTCAAACTACTCCAATGCAGTAGGGTTGCCAACCTTAGAGTAATTACTAAGATTGTGTGAATAGTGAATTTGAGGCTCGAAGTGAATAGGTATTTTTTTTGGTCGGATAATTATGAATTGAATTCAATTAGTATATATAATATATAAAGCATTAGCACATTTATATAACCTGCACAATATATTTTTTTAAATTTAAATAAATCTTCTGTGCAAACACCTTTTTTTTTTCTTTCAAAGGAGTATAAACAACTTTGAGTAGTGGCAGGATTTTACTTTTTGTAGAATGCAAGTGATAACCTGTAAGATACGTAACGTTTTAAAATTTATTATACAGTCAATTCCGGATATATTGATCTCGGATATGTCAACCTGATGTAATGAACTATTGGCCATAACGAACAGTTGAGAAATCTCCTTTAATTTCCCATGCAAAAGTATGAGACCGGTGCACATGTATATTCAACTCCTGCACACGGAAACATCCGCTATATTGAATGCTGCGTTATCGACAGTGCTTACGCTATATCGAAAGTGGGTTTTTCTTAGCAAGATCAATTTTTGGCTGCGTTCTAACAAGTTATGATCCCTTTGTGTGCACAGGAGACAAAAAGGTGGCGTTATTCTATTGTGCTGATCTGGTTCGTTGGGCGGCGCTTGTGAGGGCACCGATATGTTTCATGCGCGATCTGCAGGTCTCAGCTAAGTGAAGGCACAGTGTTTTTCAGAAACACCGACTGCCGAGGACATCACAATGAGAACACGAAGTGATCTCACTGCAATGTTCACATTCCCTTCTTTGTTTGTTAGTGCACAATGGTACATGAGCCTGAAAAGCATGTCCTTCGAGATGTGTAATCTCATGACATATTTTTGGCATTCTCGGTTTTAAAACACACGTCTCGGAGGCTATGCTTTTTCTAGCTTTTTACATCAAAGCAGCTAAAAGCACCGGCTGCGAGCTACAAAGGCCAAGGGACATTGATATCAGCAACTTGTTGACTGTGGAAACTCGACATTGTCTTTTGCGCCTTCTAGACTTGTGTACTTCTCACCTCGTTCCTGTTAAATTCTCATTCGGGAGTTGAACTGAACGTTGACCCGCACGTAGCGATAAAAATTATGACTGGTACTAGGAGCGACGTCAAGTAAAGCACTGTCATAAACTTCTCTTGTGGGCTGGGTGATGACTTCATTTGCGTCATGAACGCTGGTGTACGGTGCTTCGGTTAATTGTGCGATTTATTAGCATGTCCGGGCACAATCTCGGACAGTGAGAGACTTATCAGGGCAGATGACGATGGTGAGATCATGGCTGCCATGTCTTGTGCTGCGAAAGTGTACCTGTGTGGCTATGAATATGCCAACGCCATCGCTGCTGCTGCTAACCAACCTTTTGCCATGCTACAAAGCTTGCATCGGTGTTCTGCGTCAATCAATGCTGTTGAGGCCGAAGGAGCTCAATTCGCTTATTTCAAAAGCTTCAATGGTATTGAGGATGACTGGAACTTGGCGGTGTGCAAGAAGCAAGACTAGTTTACCAACTATATTCATGCAAAATAAAGCGTGGTAACCTGCAGCGTACATCTTTTTCTTCATTGTACTGTGAGCGACTCATGTTAGCGCTTGTAATGATTTTCGGGGCCTGAAATGCTTTGATTTAGGCCTTAAATGCGCATATTTTGTATTTCCAATTATCGATATATCGAACTATTTCGCGTTCCCCTTTGAGTTCGATATGTCCGGGATCAACTGTACATAGAGCATATAAGCTGGCATAACAAACTTTTAAGCTTAAAAAAATTGATCAATTGTTTTGTGGGTAATATGTTCATTTAAACGGGTCCTGCAACACTTTCTCAAGTAGCCATAGTATGGGTTCACTAAGTAAGCGTATTGCGTCACGAATTCATTGTCGCAAATATTTTTGGAATCCGTCCAGTACCAGCGGAGTTGCAAAGATTTGTCGCATGCTGAAATTGCATTCTCTCTTCTCTCATCCCGACGAAAGCTCTGGAAGCTAAGCAGCAAGGGGTGGCATCGAGAAAGAAAATATGTCACACATGCCTCGTGACTTTGAGCACATTTTTTTCTTTTTTTTTTGCCCTTTCAATATGCGATATTTAGTGCGATTGTGCGCATAAGCGTAGACAAGTTGTGGCCTCCTGTGGCGGCCCCAGTAACGACCGAGCGCGCCATGCTCAAATCAGCCAAAGGCTTATACAGTCAAGCCCGCTTATAACGAACCTGAGCGCGACGCGGCATTCGTTCGCTGTATCTCGAAGTTCGTAGTAAATGAAACACAGCTTTTAAAAAAGTTGCGAGTGAAAACACCAACTTTTATGTCCCAAAAAGTCCATGATGCACGTGTTTCGAATAGCAGAAGTGATAAGGGCGGTCTCGAGTTCCCTTAAAACGGCAGGGCGCTCGTTCGCCGAGGCCCGTGGCATAAGCTGCATGAGGCACTGGCTCCAAAGTTTCGTCGCTCTCGCAATCCGATTCCTCCAAATCGCTCTCGCCACGCACTTCATTCACAATGCCCCAATCCATGCACGGTTCCGCAGTGTCGGCATCATCATCGGTCGTAATTGAACCATCGCAACAGATGTCTCACCCGCTCTCCCAGGTCGGAGTCTGCGACGCGCTGCCACAAATCGCCGCCACAGTGGTCCTGTCCGGAAACTTCAGGCTCGGCATCGGGCCTCACGTCGACGAAGTCGGCCTTGCGAGAACAGTTTCGCGCGTATCTAGCCGTCACCGCCGCCCACGAAATATTCACCATCTCCACAGCTGAATACTGGGACGCCCGAAGCGGCAAGTTGGCTGCCAGGTGGTCATTTCGCGCGGATTCCGCTCAAGCCAAGCGGTCACACTTTTGACGTTTTGTTGAGTGGCACGAAAAATAGTGCTAGTCCTCCAGTCGACCATCATGACCACACACGCACACCAAGAGCGAGCAAGACGCGCACACGCGACACACATGCCAGAACGCGTGGAACAGCTCTGGGCCCGTTTCCAGTCAGAAAACGAAACTAACTCGAGCCAGCGTAGCGGGCGTCGCGGAGCGATGGAGACAGGCGAAGGGGTTGTTATCAAGAGAAGAGAGCAGACTTGCGAGAGAAGGGCAAGGAGTTGCGATAAAGAGAGGGGAGGATGCGGCGGGAGGGCGACCTTCAAAACCAAAACACAAGGGAAGGAGGCAGGTTAGGTAGCTTGCTTGAAAGGTCCACCAAACTCGCACGTAGAAAAACTTGGAAAGAGTGCCTACGCGTGGCGGTGTTCGAAGAATCGACGGCCGTAATCAAAAAATCGTTTTGTTGCGCCGGCGGGTTTGCGTGCTTCACGGATATTTCGCGATTCGTTCCGTGCAAATTCACAGCTGTTTTCGCGCTTCCGCACACGCGCGGAAGGCATGCTGAGCTGAGTGCGAAGTGAGCGAGAACAAGTCCTAAACACGAAACGAATCACGAATTATTGGAGTCGGTAGGGTAGCTTACGTGCGTGCACTAGACGCAGACTATCGGATATAGTCGGTGGCCGACGATGTTGGCAATTGGTCTGGTCACTCCAGGCTGGCGACGCCAACGACAGTACCAGCGATCAAAAACACGGTAGGTGGCCGGCCGGTCTTCGAAAGATCGGTGGCAGTGTGAAAACACAGGCCTCTTCTGGCGATGCGGGGTGCTCAGAGTAGCGGGGGGGACAAAGGACGGAGGGGTGCGTAACTAAAAGCGGTCGGGGAGAGCAGCAACTAGAGGGGCGCGGAGGCAGGGTTGGCATTTAACAATAAGAATGTATGGGCACCTCACCGATGCCGGATCGGTGGTCGAAATTGGTTTCCCGGGAAGTCGGCAGACCGCCGACTCCGTTCGCTGTAACTAAGCAGCAGCGCTCGGAGGCGTTCGTTGTAAGTGCGATTTTGTGCCATTGAACCAATGTATATTTTCACGGTCACGCGGATATTGTTCCTTTTAAGCCAAAGTGGGGCGGTTATATGTGGGCACGACTGTATAGTGGTTGTCATTTTTTGACTTGGGGCATCATTTGTCTAGAAAAGAGAGCGATTTTTAGCTGACTTTCAGAATTTATAGTGAATTACAGGCCGCATGCTGTGCTGTAGTATTTGGCTCGCGTGTTCTCGGTAGCGTTGACTTCCGATTGGCAGCGTTTTTTCTGACTGCGCTCAAGAAGGGTTGCAGCGCCCCTTTAGATGTGAAATGCTGCTTCGTGGCATAGCGCATTTTTTCCTGTATAGGTGCTTTTGCTGCTTAGCATCCCTACAGTGCAGTGAAACCATCTTTACAGGAAGTTACAAGCGAATTAACATGTATATTTGTTCATTGTGAATACTTCGAAATTTTAAAGAATTAAAATTAGAACATTAGCAAATTTGAATACTCTACTATTTGTTCGAATATTCCAAGCATTGCCCCGCCGTGGTGGTCTAGTGGCTAAGGTACTCGGCTGCTGACCCGCAGGGCGCGGGTTCGAATCCCGGCTGCGGCGGCTGCATTTCCGATGGAGGCAGAAATGTTGTAGGCCCGTGTGCTCAGATTTGGGTGCACGTTAAAGAACCCCAGGTGGTCTAAATTTCCGGAGCCCTCCATTGCGGCGTCTCTCATAATCATATAGTGGTTTTGGGACGTTAAACCCCACATATCAATCAATATTCCAAGCATTCGAATATTTGCACAAGCCTAGTAATTATCCTACTTGTAGGGTAATTTTGGAATTTTTCGGCCAGCATAGTGTAGTAGGGCCGCAATGTGATTTTGTTATAAAATGTAGGGTAATTTTTAACATTTTGCTCGTCACTGACCAGTGAAAAATGCACATTCGCGTGGCATATCCGAAAGTCGTGTTCCTGAATAGATCAGAAAACTTAACTCTGGCATTGAATGAAGTTTGAGTAGTCTTAATTCACGTCACCAGCACAGGGCAAAGACGAATGAGAATGTGCCCCACATGCCTAATTTT